GAATTGAAACTCGGAACTGGAAAAGAAGAACAGGGAAAGATGGGTTGGAAGGTGCAACTTCAACACACGAAATCGGGGAAGAGGCTCGATCCAAATAGGTAGCAAATCGTCCACCATTGATGTGATGACTCAATCGATGCTGAGCTCGCTCGTTGATGGATTTGATCCCACGCAACAAGGACAATCAAAGAGCATGAAACTCCATGACTAGGGTTCTTATTAAACTTCAAAAACTGAAAACTTACAACGCAAACGACGATTACTTAAATAGCTAGCTAGTATAACTCGACTAACAACTTCCTTATCCTACTGGAACTTGACAAAACAAGGTTTAAACTGAAAAGGAATAAACTTCAACTAAACAAGGAAACAATGAAACCATTCTGCCTGCAGCTCCAAGTCACCAAACAGCCTTTGATCCCATCTTCGAGGCCTTCGATGGACGACTTCCAGATATGAAACAATTCACCCAATGCCCTTCCTTTGTAGATGAAAATGCATATTTTCATGTGGTATCGAGCCCCTGACTCGATTCTCTGTCCTCTGCCCAGAATGGAACTCCAAAGTGACCTTCCTGAACATACCTCCAGACTTGGTCAAATTCTGGAAAACTGCCAGTTGTGTGATAGCTACTTTGAGCCCGTGGGAAGCAGCATTAATGCGTCGTATGAATCTGAAACCCATACCATCTTGTTCAGAAAGTCTTCATGATCAAAACGACACCCTAAACTCCCATTTCATCAGCCCAATTGGTAGAACGAGCTCCCAAAGTTGACTACCTGAACACGTTCAATACACTTAGCCAAAAGTCCAGATGTTCAAATGAGTTGGGTTAGCTTCGTGGGCAAGTAATTCGAGCTTGGTAATGACGCAATTCTGGGTTGTATCAAAGGTTGAATACCCATTGATTTGGGTTCAATTGTCAAAAGTTAATTAATTAGAACCTTGGCACAAAACCTCCTCAAAGTTTCAATGATTTAAGTGTGCAAAACTAATTGTTGAGCCAAAATTCGGCAACAACTGGTTCAACATGCTTTAACCGGATCGAAGTAGGTCGAATACCCATTGATTCAATTGTCATAAATTAACTAATTAGAACCTATATGGCACAAAAATCCTCCAAGATCAATTATTTAAGCGTGCAATACTCGTTGTTGAGCCAAAATTCGTAAAACATCAGGTTCAACTGCTTCAACCGAGTCGAAGTAGGTCGAACACCCATTGATTTGGGTTCAATTTGGATTTAATTGTCATTAGTTAATCAATTAGAACTTTGGATTTAATTGCCATAAGTTAATCAATCAGAACTTTAATGGCACAAAAACTCCTCCAAACTTCAATGTTTAAAGCACAAAACTCGTTGTTGAGGCAAAATTCGTAAGCACCAAGTTGAATTTGCTTAAACTAAGCGTAAAAACTCGATGTTGAGCCAAAATTCGCCAACAACGGGTTCAACTTGCTTTAACCGGATCGAAGTAGGTCAAAGACCCACTGATTTATTTGCCATAAGTTAACTAATTAGAACCTCCTTGAAGCTTCAATGAATTAAGTGGGAAAACTCGTTGTTGAGCCAAAATTCGTCAACATGGTTTAACTTGCCTTAAACCGAGTCGAAGTAGGTCAAACACCCATTGATTTAGATTCAATTTGGATTTAATTTTCATAAGTTAATCAATGATTAAAGCACAAATTTGTAAAACACTCGGTTCAACTCGCTTAAAATGGATCGAAGTAGGTCGAACAACCATTGATTTGGGTTCAATTTGGGTTCAATTGTAGTAAGTTAATTAATTAGTACCTTAAAACCTCTCCAAACTTTGGTCAAATACAAATGACCACCCTTGTGACGGGACACTATGCAATAGTAACTTGGTTACTTGTTCTTTCATCGAGATAACAATAAATAATAATAATAATAATAATAATAATAATTTGGGTTCAATTGTAGTAAGTTAATTAATTAGTACCTTAATGGCATAAAACCTCTCCAAACTTTGGTCAATTACAAATGACCACACCTTGTGATGGGACACTATGCAATAGTAACTTGGTTACTTGTTCTTTTCTAGAGATAATAATAATAATTATTATTATTATAATTATCATCTTATTCCAGTAAAGGTAAGACACAATGAGTTTACATGGTATGGTACGAGGTGGTATAGTGTCGAATGATTGGGTCTAACATATTTTTATCACCTTCTAATCATGACACAGTAAGTACCATAGTGGTAGGGGTGGTATTTTGTGGTCTTTACCATATCACGTTGGATTGCATTACCATCGCACATTACCAAGGAATCGTTAGTTACCATGGTGGTATCAGTACTGTATACTATCATCGAGTAGTATTATGCTATCATACTACCACCATGTGTGGTATAGTTTGGCATGATTCTACGAAAATAATTATCACCTGCTACCACCATTGTGGGCGCAGCGGGTGAGAATAGCGGGTAAATATATTGCACTAAGAAATCACACGCTTGTAAAAAGTTCACAAATAAGTTGGACCTGGTGGCAGAGCCTCCAGAATTACGGTAACCAACTTACTTAGATCAATTTACTTCGGTAATTTAATAATGCAATATACTACGACTATTCTCAAAATAACAACAAGCATAGATAATAATAAATGACACCGAGGATTTACGTGGTATACCCTGATTTTGGGCCAGTCCACGGGAACAACAGCTCCGGAGTATTTCTTTACTATAACAATGGTAGGTTACAGAGATTTTCTCGATACAAGAAATAGAACACACGGTGTTTCCCAAACAACCTCACTATTTCACTCACAAAGAAATCTCCTATCTACCCGTGGTAGTGAAAATATTTCACTACCAAAACCCACAAAAGAAATACGAACAGAAGCAGAGCAAAGGAAATGGAGAAGGATGGAATGGTAAGGGATGATTGAAATGAGGCAAATGCCTCTGCATTTTATAGCCAGGGAAGAGGGGAAGGGAATTAAATTCCCATATGCTAACTCACCTCCCCAACTGCATTTTTGGGTGCTTTAATATTTGTTGATTTTTTTTTTTATAATTACCAAATTGCGGCTCTTGCTCCACCACATGTAGCCGGGCCAACAATTCTCCCCCGCCTGACTATATGGGCGACTTCATCAACAGAGTTTGCACCATCATCATCACTGTTCTCATCTCGTTTGCCCTTCCTTCTCTCGTTTCTGAACTTTGGGCAAAATCTTCTGATGTGGCCCTTTTCCTTGCAGTGATGACAATTGATGTTGGCAAACTTGTTGGACTTCCCTCGACTCTTGCCTCTTTGCTTTGAGCCTCTCGCTTCACTTCTTCCTCTGCTTCTGGAATCCACCACCAAAAGGTCTGACTGGGAAGATGATGAGGATGCACCTTGTGATCTTTTCCGCATCTCTTCATTCAGAACCCCACTTTTGCCGATCTCCATGTTGATAACTCATCTTTCGCAGAGTTGGTAAGTGAAATTTTTAGCGTCTCCCAAGATTCTGGAAGGGAAGCCAGAACGAGGAGAGCGACAACCTCATCTTCCATCTTTATGCCCATACCGGACAACTGATCCACGATCCCTTGAATTTCGTTCAAGTGATCCGCCAAGGATTTGCCTTCCTTGTATTTCATCTGGACCAACTTGGTCAGATAAAATAATTTGTTGTTGCCGGTCTTTGATGCATAGAGTGCCTCCAGCTTGTTCCACAGAGTTCTGGCATGAGTTTCTCCGCTAATGTGGTTGTATACATTATCGTCGACGAACTGTCGAATGTAGCCACATACTTGCTCATGCTTGAACTCCCATTCCTCTTCAGTTTTGCCATCAGGTTTAGTTGGGCTAAACACCGGAAAATGCAACTCCATCACGAGTAGGAGATCCTTCATCTTGTTTCTCCATATGTGATAGTTGGAGCCATTCAGACTTATCATCTTGCTTGTTTTTGCCTCCATTTGGACGTGGCTCTGATACCACTTGTTGGGCGTAGCGGGTGATAATAGCGGGTAAATATATTGCACTAAGAAATCACACGCTTGTAAAAAGTTCACTAATAAGTTGGACCTGGTGGCAGAGCCTCCAGAATTACGGTAACCAACTTACTTAGATCAATTTACTTCGGTAATTTAATAATGCAATATACTACGACTATCTCAAAATAACAACAAGCATAGATAATAATAAATGACACCGAGGATTTACGTGGTATACCCTGATTTTGGGCCAGTCCACGGGAACAACAGCTCCGGAGTATTTCTTACTATAACAATGGTAGGTTACAGAGATTTTCTCGATACAAGAAATAGAACACACGGTGTTTCCCAAACAACCTCACTATTTCACTCACAAAGAAATCTCCTATCTACCCGTGGTAGTGAAAACATTTCACTACCAAAACCCACAAAAGAAATACGAACAGAAGCAGAGCAAATGAAATGGAGAAGGATGGAATGATAAGGGATGATTGAAATGAGGCAAATGCCTCTGCATTTTATAGCCAGGGAAGAGGGGAAGGGAATTGAATTCCCATATGCTAACTCACCTCCCCAACTGTATTTTTGGGTGTTTTAATATTTGTAGATTTTTTTTTTTATAATTACCAAATTGCTGGCTCTTGCTCCACCACATGTAGCCGGGCCAACACATTGAACAATAAGTTACAATGATGAGATGAGTAGTAGTACTATAATATCATCATTGTAAGATGGTAATGTACTGTGATATGATCATATCATCATACCAGTAATTTTTATGTTTGAAATCCGGACCATATAGTGTAATCGTTTCATTGCATTACTAATCGAATAATCGGAACCTTTAGTACATTTTCAGTTCAATACTCAATCTCTATCTTCCCATTTTCTCAATCTTAATCTCAAACTCCTTCTCAACCCATACCAATTTTCTCTCGACTCTCTCTCAAACCCTCGGTCTAATCAACTATCCTGCATCAACTAGCCCATGCAGAATTCCATTAATTAATCCATGCACGATGAACAACAGTGGTATCGTCATCATTTGAACTTAGACTGGAGCTGAGTGGCCACACTGTCATCAGCCTGAAGCGCCTTGGCCACAACCTCGACCGGAATCTTGGGACACGAACCCAACACCGCCGCAACCACCGGCTGGGTCCCAGGGTTCTGGCTGTCGAGCGCCGCGATCCCGACGGCTGCCTCCTTGCCGACGTTCCTCTGGTAGTGCGTCAGCGCCTGGGGAAACACGAACGCTTCCCCCGCTTGCAGGACCTTGGTGATGAGCTTGGTCTCCGGCAGTGTGGTGACGAACCCGACCTCGAGGGTGCCTTCCATGACGATGAGCAGCTCACTCGCCCTCGGGTGGATGTGGGGCGCGTTCACTCCACCGGGGGCGAAGTCGAGGCGGACCATGGACACGCCTTGGGTGTTGAGCCCCGGGATCTGGTTCACGGTCACCAGCGTGGCTTTGAATCCGGCCGTGTTGTTGGTGTCGCCCGGTTTGTTGAGCCCCTGAAGGTGAAATCATCCGCCTTTACTGATTCTGGTGGCTTGCAAGCGAACCCATTCATCGGCACTGCAAATTAAGACGATTTAAGAAAATTCACAATATATATGCTCACGATCGAATGAAGATACCATTGTTATTGCGCGTAGTCAATCTGGAGTAATTAATATGTATGACAAAGTATTTTTACGATTTTGCTCATACCCTAGCTACCCGTACCTCCACTCTTATCGGCGACGCAGTAATCCTGAAGGCTTGCCATCGGTGGCGAGAACAGGGGAAGAAGCTAATGAAAGAAGGGTGATGGTGAAGACGACGAGACAGTTGCCGATGGCCATTGCTGACGTTTACTGTAAGCTTGTTGATAATTTGGTTATATTAGGGAAGAAGAGATGGGGGAGAAGGCCAGGGAATGGATGAATGATCAGTTAGCTAGTATGGTGAAGTTGTGAGGAGTACTTATTATACATGACATGTGTTTGTGTCCTCCGACTTTCCTTCAGTCTACCGGAAACAATTCATTAACTAGCGGTAGAGAAACGTTCAAGTGTTTCCTTCCCGGATCCGATATATCTTCCTTCCTTTTCCCTCCGACTCCGTGCATGAAGGAATTGAACCCTCTCGGCCGACAATTTACACCAAATATTTATCTTCTGTCGTCAATTTTATTTTCCTTGCTATTCTGTACACGTACTGAATTGCTTAAGTTCCACTTTATTCTCATTGTATTTTTTTTTTTTGTCTAAAAAATTAACAATGACTACAGAACGAAGGACATAACTTTACCTAAATATTTTATGGCTAATGGGTCGTTTACTTGTTGTGATCCAATCTATCATGGGTGGATGGACTTAGCATGAATCCTATGATTTTGTTTAGATTGTGAGGGTACTAAATCTGTAAGGACAAACTTGGGGCCGTTTGGATCAGGAAATCTAATGAGGGATTCAGCCGGCACGCCCAGGATTTTGACCCATTTTCTTGTTTGGGTAGCTCTCAAATAATGCAAGATTTGGGCCGCTCATAATTTAAAAAACCGGCCCAGCCCGAAATTAGAAATAGCTGTCATCCCCCAAGTATTTTAAAATCCGGCCCCAATCTTACCCATAATTTTCACACACCTACCTCTCATTCTTCCCATCGTTTGAGAGAAGCTCTCTCTCTTCTCTCCCTCCATCACAAGTCGACGGCTTCTTCTCCCTCCCTAGATCCACCAGCCGTCTCACGAAGAAAGCTGTCGCCGTCGACAGAATCTTCCTCTCTCTCCCTTAGATCCGCTGGCCATCTAGCAAACAGAGCCACAAAAATGTCGACATCTCGTTCTTCTTTATCCAGCTCCGCCGACCATTTCCGAACGAACCCACAACAACTCCGTCTACAAATCCATTCCCCTTCTGAGTGCCACCATCGGCGACGACTCAGTCGAGGATGGTATGGTGGTTGCTGGTGATTTGGTATCGGATGAAGGCATCAGGGCTTCAGATCATCACGACTCGAAGAAGCCAGGGAGGGGGATTGGGGATCTGGGTCGACCACTGGGTAGTGTCAAGAACCAGTTACTCCCAATAACTCGAGTTGTTGGGAGAGGTTCAATCGTGGATCATATACCACAACACTAGCACGCCCCCTCAAACGAAAGCCACTCACAAGGGCTTGAAGTTTGCACATGTCTGAATACAAGAATACCATGTGCTTAACAAATGGGGGTCACCGGGAATCGAACACAAGACCTCTCGGTCACAGAAGGCTCTGATACCATGTCAAGAACTAGTTACTCCCAATAACTCGAGTTGTTGGGAGAGGTTCAATCGTGGATCATATACCACAACACTAACAGGTAGAACGACGTTGTCATCGCATGAGAGGCGTCGTCGTGTCTATGATTCTGCAGCATGATCTGTTTCGACCACTGGGGAGAACGCCGCCGCCGTAATTGCTCCGCATTCAATCTTTTCTGGTTTTCCCTTCCATTTCGACATTTTGGTGACCCTAGGGATTGGATCTCGACGGGAAGAAGCTCGTTCCTTCATGGATCTTCGAATCGTGGGGAATCATAGGCAGTTTAGAGAATGAGTTTGCCACCTGGTGGCGGTTAGAATTACCCATCTGTTTCTGGCCCTTGTTCAATCTGTTCGCCCATTATCGAGGAAGAACCCAGATCCTCTGCTCCTTTTGGTTGTCCCAATCTGTTTTGCCCCCTTGTTGTCGTCCTCTTCTCTCTCTGCGTCTGTGTAAGTCCTCTATTGCCAGCTGCCTTCATCAACTACCGGGAGATTTGGACTTTGGAGTTGTCGTCGCGCCGCGGAGCCTGAAGATCAGAACGGAAGGAAGAAGATGACGCAAGAGGAGAGGAAGAAGATGACGCAGGAGGGCAAATTTGTAATTTTATTTTTCTATTAAAAGTTAAATTTCTTGATGGACAATTCCGGAACCAAACAAACAATGATTTGGTTTAATTCCTTGTTTTAGTTATATTTCCTGGGTTTTTCAATGAGTTATGGGTTCAAATCTCTCCCTTAATAAAACCCTCATCCAAACGACCCTTGAAGGATTCAAATAATGGGTCTTGTGAACTTATTGAATCTCAAATCTTTTTTTTTTTTTACAAAAGATAATCATTCATTGATTCAACAAAATAGATCGTTACATCCTGGAATTCAGCCAGGCCTGGAAATCAAAGGAACAACTCATGGTCGGGTACAATGAAAGGGCCTTTCTAGCGACCGAATGGGCTACCCTATTACTACGCCGACCTACACATCGAATACTAAAATCAGGGTGACCGCCTCATGGAGGCTAAGTAATTCGACCACCATAGGGTCATCTATGACCGGAAAGTGGACCCATTCGCCATAAGAACCTGCCTCGTTGGATTAAGAATAACCGTGCCCTCGGCCGAGTGCGACCCCAATTCTAGTGGCCTCATCCCACATACAGACAAAACGCGGGGCACCAACATTATCCTGGTGTGTAGGGCTCATGAGAGGAGGTCGCGGGACGGGGCTTTTCGACAAGCTGACCATTCCTCATACTGTGACTCGCTATGACACAACCTAACAATGGCCAAGTGTAACCAATGAAAGGGACTGCAGTATAGTGGCTCAAGTAAAAATATCGAATCCACGGGTCTCTAGAGTTACTATTACTCAGCTTCAGTTCATTATCTAGAAACCAGATTAAGATGAAAGAACTAAAACTACTCTAGCAAACTACAGTTAAAGTTAATCTAATTACAGGTTGGGAACTCACTTAGGTATGATTCCCCCTAGCCACTAGCCAGATTAATGATTGATGATCTCTAACCTGTTTCACTTTCATTCACAATGCGGAGAATCCTTGACTAGACCTTGAGTCTCGACTAAAGGAACAAGGCCCTCTTGAGTCAATTGCCTAGAGGGACGTATCCTTCTCTAGAACAACCGATCAAGGCGTTCTGAACTAGACTCCCTCTATCGAAAGAGGTTCTCAATCGATACAAAGCAGTGAATCAACCCTCGACTAAAGAATCGATCCACTACTATCAATCTATGGTGCTCTATTGACCTAATCAGGTATTCGCTCTCATGATCAAAGCATAATCAATAATCTCGACTAAAGCAGAATTGAATCATGAAACATGCATAGATTGAATATGAACTCAAGATTATCAAGTCAGAGTACTCATACAATCATCCATCAAACAAACATAGCTAGGGTTCCTCAAAACCTAAGTGAAGGGAAGTTACTCCATAGAGAAGAGAGAGACTGCAGTAAGAATCTTCAGATGATCAGTCTTCAAGTCCGGGCTTGTTCCTCGAGCTTCCAAGGAGAAGAAATCCTCCAATTCCACTCCAAGAATGCCCTCAAATCGCCTCTCTTCTTTGGTTCGTCCCTTGGGTGTTTGGGATCCAAAACCCAGCTCTCCCTTGCAAAAACGCACAAAACAGGCTTTTAACAGCCTGCGTTCGCGATAGGGATTTTTGGTTCACGATAGGGGATTTTGGTTCACGATAGGGGATTTTTGGGAAAATCCCCTATCAAGGCCAAAATCCCCTACCGGGGATTTTAGCGTCACGATAGGGCCCCTTCTGTTTCTCAGAGAAGCCCGAAACCAATTTTCCCCTATCTTTGATTCTTCGTTTCTCCCTCGTTCGGACTCCAAATCAGGTGCCGTTTGATCCCAGACGCTCGTAGTCTCGTCCTCTTTCTTCTCTTGACAAGATTACATGATTATATTGTCACAAACTGAGGTAGAAATCCATTCTTCTTCAAGTCATACCCGAGTTTCTTCCCCGAGTCGCCAATTGATCTCCGATTGACTTGAAACTTGCGCCTACGCTTCACTTTATGTGCTAGGACCTGAAATGTGACAAAGGAACACAACCTAGCGTAAAATAGGCCAAAGAAGCGATAATGCAAGCTTAAACGATCAAGAAACAAAGGGGAAAACATGTGCAAATATCGAGTCATCAAATCCCCCCACACTTAACCGTTTGCTTGTCCCCAAGCAACCTAACTCAAACCAATGCAACTCTCCAGAACTCTATAGAAACACGCACCCTCGATCGTTGATAGAGGATTTTCTAGATCATTTAGCAGCTTACGAGGTCAACCGACACACAAGTCATCTCATAGCTTCTCGGCGAGAACGCTAGTCTCGAGTCGACATCATGGCAAATAGTGATCAGAGGATAGATGAATCGTGGACGAAGAGACTCTCAAAAACTAAAGATCATGGACTCACATTTTTCAAGGTGCTCTTATTTCTTTTTGAAGACGGTTGGAACCCCTTTTTTTCCTTCTTTTGTTCTTTTTTTTTTTTTTCTTCCAAGGGTTCCACACCGATTTTCAGAAAACGGGGCTCCACTAGCAAAGGTTTTGCCTCCTAGTTCTGTTGTCAGCTAAATTAGGCTTCAAAGCCATTGTTACTGGTTATCCCCCCTGTAAATCAAATCATAACTTAACAGATCAGCTGTCAGTTTGAAGTTGGACAATTTCTGGATCGAAATGTAGCACTTGCCCGATCCAAAGCTAATCCACGTAGATCATTGCTAAGAAGTCAAGTATAGCAATGTTAAAAGCAAAAAATTCAAACTAACTGAGAAAGGGGAAATTGAAGGCGGACTGATCTATCTTTACCATAACCAGGAAACAGGACATAAAGACAGGATGGGACTCCGAAGGGGAAGACCAAATCAAAAGGCAAGTACAATGATCGGGGAGGTAGTGGGGTGGGGACTACTGGAATTCGCCATTAATGGGGATTAACTCCATCCACGGTTGAGGAATTAAATGGATTCAGCAGACAACAGTACACTAAACGATCCTTCAAATTTAGCCATTAATTATATAAAACTAGAAACAGAAGCGAAATTACATAGTTGAAACCAAGTGCTCTTCATTTTTAAGAAAAAGAAACGATCTTGCATATAATGGGCAGATAGGTAGTTGGATGCTTACCGATTGCGAACGAAAA